ATCCAGCACACAAGCAAGACAGCATATAACAGCACACGTTTCAGCACAAAAACAGGTGTGAAAAGCCAGGCAGCAAGCAAGTCAAGCAAAGACAGCATGCAAGTTCAAAGCATCGACAGTTGTGGAAAGTAGGGCAGCAAGCATGTTTGAATGCAATTAATCAAATACAAACAACAATCATGGATAGACATCACACAAGTATGAACATGCTTTGACAATCAATCATAAATGATCAACGACATCGCAACAAAGCGGAATCGGAAATAAATGCAATCATGCATCACAATATTCAGCAACATAATCATTAATCATCACCAATTAACATGCTATAAACAAACAAGGGAAATGACTGTTCATCAAACAAATCACATGAGCCTGTTAAACATTCAAAACAGAAACCCAAAAGTTACGCGTCGAAGAATTGATATCAAGAACGATGAAATATGTCCAAAACAATCCACATAAATGCATCATATCAATCCATGAAATTTACATGTGAAAAGGATACCAAACAAACAAGAAAAATGCAAAAACACAACATTCTGATAAACGGTAATCGGTTACTCAATATCAGGTAACTGGTTACCCTATTGAAAAAAATAGCCTGGACGTAAAATTTGTACAGAGTAACCAGTTATCCTATATAAGGTAACTGGTTACCACTGAACCAGAACCAGAAAAACAACTTTTAAAATCAGTGTTCAGCATTCAATAACTTATCCAATCACTCATATGAACATGTTATCAATTAAGCACGAAATTGACATCAAATATCAATGATCAAACAACATGTAAACATAATTAAACACTGAAATCACAAATCATCAAGATCCAAATCAACAAAATGGATCAAAAAGTAGCAAAAACTAAAGATCTACATTGTGATTATTCAAATAAACTCAAAACAGAATTAGATCTAGAATTGACAACCTTCAAAGCTAAGATATGCTTTGGTGAGTGTTGATTCACTTAAAATTAGCATATCCAAGCAAGAAACTCAGAGATTCTTCAAGATCCAAGAACTTCCTTGTGATAGAAATGAAGATCAAGCAAAAATGATCCAAAAAGCACTTCCAATCTAACTTCCAAATTCAGATCCAAAACCAAACGAAAATTGAATGGTGAATTGAAGACAATGGAGATGAATGGTGGAGGTTTAGCTCTAGAATTTTATGATTTCAATGAAGAATCAAAGAACTCAAGTGAAAGTGCTTTAATGGAGGTTTTGGGAGTGAAAAAATAGAGTGAAAAATGAGAGCAAGTTCTCAAGAATGAGAGTGAAATCTGAAAAATGAAGGTTCTTTGTGTGAATGAAGGTAATTGTGTGAGGTTTGGCGCAGATTCACTTAAATAAGCTATAGGTTTGGAATCAAAATATGGTTTAGAATGTGGATTAGCATTTGGAATGGAAATTAGGAGTGGAATTAGGAACGGAGTGTTTGAAATTTGGAGGAAAATGGTGAAAATTGAAACAATTCTAGATCCTTCCAATTATGATCATGTGAAATCAATGGTTGAGAATGATTTGAAATTGCACGTGCTGAAAATTCAAATTCTTTGGCTAATTTCGTTTGAAGTAACCGGTTACCCTATATGCAGTAATCGGTTACCACATTCAAAAATGCTCATATTGGCGCCATGTGGAGGAAATCTTGTACAACTGTTTGTTGCCACCTGTTCTGGGCTCTGTTAAGCCTCTAAAACTTGCTCTTGAATATCATAACTATGGGAACGCCTGAGATAATCTGTGTATTGTCTCCTGAGCTGAATATTAACCTACTGACTAAAATAAAATTGACCGCTCGATCGATGGGCAAAATAAATGTCTGAGCCTCTGATGCTTACTGTTTAAACTCTTGCACTAAAAGAGAACCCTGAGTCACAGAAACACCTTGATCCCATGCCTCAAGAACAAATGATATGATATGCAGAAATGCAAAATGCAAAGAAACATAAGCCAGTAAAGGTTAAAACGAAAGGGCAAATTTTGGGGTGCTACAAAAAGGAGGGGATTGATTTCAATGAAAGTTTTTCTCATGTTTCCACTAAATACTCTTTTAGAATCGTTATAGCCCTTGTAGCACATTTTGACTTGGAATTGCATCAGATGGATGTTAAGACTGCTTTTCTGAATGGTGATCTTAATGAGGAGGTGTACATGCAGCAGCCTGAGGGTTTTGTAAAAAGTGGTGATGAACACTTGGTTTGTAAATTAATAAAATCTATTTATGGTTTGAAACAGGCTTCTAGACAATGGTACTTGAAATTTGATGAGGTGGTAACTTCATTGGGTTTTGAAGAAAATAAAGTTGATTAGTGCATCTATCTTAAGGTCAGTGGGAGAAAATTCATCTTTCTTGTGTTATATGTTGATGATATTTTGCTTGTGAGTAATGATCTTGGTCTACTTCATGAGATCAAACTTATGCTAACCAATTTCTTTGATATGAAGGACCTTGGTGAAGCATCCTTTGTGTTGGGAATTAAAATACACAGAGATAGATCACGTAGTGTACTTGGCTTCTCGGAGAGGGCTTATAATGATAGAGTTCTGAAGAGGTTTAATATGCAAAATTGTAAGCCAAGAGATGTTCCAATTACTAAAGGAGACAAATTCAGTAAAGATCAATGTTCTAAAAATGAGATTGAGCGGGCAGAGATGAAGGGAAAACCCTTTGTCAATGCATTATGCAGCCTGATGTATGCTCAAGTATGCATTAGACCTGACATTGCTTTCAAAGTTGGCGTCTTGGGACGATACCAGTCTAATCCTGGGAATGATCATTGGATTGCGACTAAGAAAGTGATGAGATATTTGCAGAGAACTAAAGAGTATATGCTTGTTTTTAGAAGAGTTGACAACTTGGAAATAGTTGGGTATACTGACTCTGATCTTGTTGTGTGTGTTGATGACAGGAAATCTACTTCTGGTTACATTTTTATGTTGGCTGGAGGTGCGATATCATGGAAGAGTAAAAGATCTTGTAAAAAAAAATGATATTGTTGTTGAGTACATTGGTACTGACTTCATGCTAGTTGATTCCCTAACTAAGGGACTTAGACTCATTGTGTTTAAAAACCATGTTGAGAGCGTGGGCATTGTGAGTTCTTTTGATATACTTGGTTAGTGAAAGTTTGTTCTTTATGTCATTTTCTTATCATGTTATATTTTATTTTGAACACTTTAAGTGTTGGATTGTCAAGTACTTTCTATTTTATATAATTGATATTACAATGATTATTATTATTATTATGTGTCATTGTTTATTTATTTGTAAATTGCTAAAATTGGGACTCGGTGTCATCGAAACCACCGTGCATATGGTCAACACTAGTTTGGAGTTCGAGGCATGGTTATAATTTTGAGCTCGATGTCTTCGAAACCACTATACCGTTGGTTGATGCCACATTGGAGTTAAGGTATGATTTTAAGCTCAGTGTTGTCAGAACCACTATGCTGGTGGTCGATGCCATATTGGAGCTGAGACATTATGGTTTGTAAAACCATACAATTTCTTTGATTTTAATGCATTTGAGAGAAATTGTTAAGCACTGACAAAGAAAATAACAGTTGGTTGTTGGATCACATTAGCATGTTATTTTCTTGTCACACTCCACACTAATGACTAGTTGAGGAAGTATGTAGTATTTGTAATCACATTGATGACTAGTTGACGGAGTATGTAGTATGTAATTTGGAGTTCAATACTGCTTGACTTTTGTTGGATAGAGTCATATTCAGATATTGCACCTGGAATCATACATTTCATTAAAATACGGTCGCATTTTAAGAAATTAGTCATTAACTCAAGAGTCATTTTCAAAATGTATTTTAAAATAAAAATCATACAATTGATTTTGCCCAAGTGGGAGAATGTTAGATTTATCTAACTTTTTATGTGATACAATCAATTGTAATTTAATTTGTGAAAAATAGGTTAATCGTGATTCTGAAGGGGGTGCATATATAAGCCCTCTTATTAATTAAGTAATTCTTTTTAACTAATAGTTGAATATCTGAAACTTAATTAGTGTGTAAAAGTGAGTTTTAACCTTGAACTCATAATGAAGTGATTAGGGGCCCATAATGTGTAAACTGTTTTCATCCACTATGGACAAGATTGAGTCTTTTTTAAGCTAATGTATATTTTAAACGAAGTCTATGATGTACATTACTTATCATTGGAGATGCCAGATATTGACTCACCTTGTACATGGATCTAGGTATGAAATCCAATTGAAACCGAGAATGAAGAAAATTTGTCAATTTGAACAATATACTACCTGCTCATTATCAAAATACCATTGAATGATTAGTTCTAACAATGTGAAGATTATGTTTTCCATAAATCCATAGTTTTCCGGTAATTATCTTTGAATACAAGAGACAAGTAAGGTCTTATTTAAGGTACAAATTAATGAATACTAACTCTGTAAAAGTTTGTAAAAAATTTGAAGTCATTTTATAATATAATATGTTGGAAACTGATTTGGTCGTTGAAATGGTAAAACCATATCAAATTTGTGAGTCAGAATCTGCTATGAAAAAATTCTAGACATTTTGTACACAATCTCAAATCCCACGTAACAATCAAAACATGGAACCAATCAAAACAAAAATATATTATGCGCAAATCGTTGGTAGCACCTATTGACAGTCTTTCAGAAACATAAATCGTTTTAGAAAATAGCCAAAGTAGATAGTTCTACCATTTCAAAGATCAAAACAACAGCTTCATTTACAATACTATTAGGTGCTTGCAAATTTAACTTACATACATAACACTTTGCGATCATTTGTAATTGTAAGTTTAACTGATCAATAACCAAAATAATTTGTTTCAGATAATACTACTCTTTCCATTACAAATAATATTCTTATAGATGTTAATACCAGAGAATGTCTTCCTTAACACTGAATAATGAAGGTTAACACTTTTAAACCCAAGTACAAACACATGTATAAAACTATTAAAATTAACCATTCTCTTCGCTCATAATCAAACCCCAGTAGATCCAAAACCACCTTCCCCTCTAACAGTAGAATCCAAATCCTGAACCTCAGAAACCTCAGGAGTAATAATCTTCTCAATAATCAACTGAGCAACCCTATCACCGACCTTCACTTCAAAATCAACATCAGAATGGTTGAACAGTATAACTCCAACCGGGCCCCTATAATCCGCATCAATAACTCCCGCACCAACATCAATCGAATGCTTCCATGTCAAACCCGATCTCGGCGCTGCAAATAGTTCAATTTAATTCAAAACCCTAAAATTCAAAACCCTAAAGTTCAAAATTCTAAAACTCAAAATAATGATTTCAGAAATTGAAACGGGGAAATTACCAACGCGGGCATAGGTTCCTTCCGGGACAGCGACGGAGAGATCGGTGGGTATCAGAGCTTTTCCTCGGGCCGGAACCTTAGTATCGACAGCACTGGAAAGATCGTATCCGGCGGAGAGAGGGGAGCCTCTGGAAGGTATAACAGCTTTGTCGGAGAGTTTCTTAACTCTTAGAAAATGAGATGTGGGAATGGCTCCGCTAGCGTTAGCCATTGTTGAAAACTCAGAGGTTGGAGATAGGAACTGTATTGTGAAAACTGAAAACAGAGATGATTGGAATCTTTTAGTTTATCTTGATATAAATATATAGGGGAAAGAGCATGAAAGTGTGATAATGACCATGGCGCCAAACTTTCCCGCCATACTTGCTCTCGCATTTACTTCTTCGTCCAAATAGAAAATGTTACTATTTTAATTTTAAAATAAATTACAAAATAAAATGATATCTTATTGGGCCAATGCTTTAATTTTCCTTATGCTATTTTTTTTCAGAGAATTTATTTTTAAAATTATGTTTAAATATTATGCCTACCATATATATATATATATATATATATATATATATATATATATATATATATATATATATATATATATATATATATATATATATATATTCATGTAAATGCGACTACACTAAATATACTAAACATATAATAGTTTTTTTGGGATAAAATTAGATTTTATTCCAAGATAAAAAAAGGATCAAATCTATTCATTATTTTAAAAATGAAAAAAAAATCTGCTTTAATCCAAAAAAAAGTGATTGATTTACATCTATCGACAATTTATTTACATTAATATATAACAACAAAAAAGATAGGGTAAGAAATTGAACACCAACAACTCGGACCCATTTATCTCCTTAACCAAATACCCTATGCCACCCTCCTATTAAATTACACTTCATACCACTATATTTTATTAATACCAATTTGTGATAGCCTATCTTTTGTTGGCAGGCGGTCTTGAAGAGCAAGCTAAAGAGTGAAGGTTGAGTGAGGCCTAAAATAATTGGTATAAAAGAGTTGCTCTTTATCTTCTCGAAATGCTTTATACATGGTGGATGTATTATATTTTCTTTACTGGATCATTTCCTCCCAGTATTGATATCGCTCGACATTGTTCCTGCAATTCAGAATTTTCTTTAAAGATCCAAAAGTTATTTGTACTTGGTTGCCACATCATTATGTCTTGCCCTTTGAGGTAGTAAGCATGAATCCATTTAACCTACAATTTGTGCATTTTAGCTTGAATGTTCCATAACAGTTTTGTCAAGGTTGCTTGATTCCATTCCCTTAGTGAAATGATATTAAGCCCTCATGTTGCCTTAAGATTACACACTTTGGTCCATGCTAGCATTGTTTTCCTGCTCATCTTCTATGTTCCGCTCAAAAGGAAGTTTCTAGATATAGCTTCAAATTAGTGAATAACTTTCTCTGGGAGTGGAAAAGCTTGCATCCAATAAGTGGTGATAGCAAATGTCACATTATTGATCAACTACTTTTTACCTGTACAACTCAATAACTTTTTAATTCAATGTTTAATTCTAGCTACATTTTTATCCATCAGAGGCATGTAATGGTAGATGTACGGTGTACGGTTAGATAAGGAAACTCCAAGATATTTAAATGGCAATGTGCCATTTGAGAATTTTGTAGTTTCCATAATTCTTTATTGCATCTGATCATGTATCCCACCAAAATAAACCTTACATTTTGTGGGGTAAGCCTTCATGCGTGTAACTTTTGAGAAGAAATAGAATTCTTGCATCATGAGCTTCACAGATATTTCATCCCCTCTAAAGTACAGAATGAGGTCATCTGCAAAACATATGTTTATTATTCGAATCTTCCCACATTTGCGATGGAAGTTAAAGTTATAATTCATTTGCAATTTCTTCAAACACATGTTCATGTATTCCATTACGATCACAAAGAGCAGTGGAGAAATTGGATCTCCCTGTCTAAAGCCTTTTTTGCTTTCAATAGTTCACTGTGTTAACCTTTGATGTTGTATTTGTAGGAAACGGTACTTACACAAACCATTATCCACTTGATGAATATTGTAGGAAAGTTCATATAAATCATAATGGTTTCCAAAGTTCTCCAATCTATTGTATAGTAGGCTTTTGAATATCTATTTGTATTGCACATATATGTGATATGTGTTTCCTCATGTATCCTCTTAGGAGTTAATGTGCAATAATGATATTGTCATGAATAATCTTTCTTGGGAGAAAAGTAGACTGGATTTCATCTATTATGATATTGATTACTTTGTTCAGCCTAGTTGTAAGAATCTTTGAGATGATTTTATATATTGTGGAGTAACAAGCTATTGGCCTCTGTCATACCCCAAAACTTTCCCTATCAAAAAGATAATTAAACTTACATTTTTAATATTGATTTCAAATTTCAAATGTGTAGTTAATTAATTTCTAGCATAAGAACAAAATTTATGTTTTTCATGCACCATATACATTCCATAGTTCCTACACTATTATATACACACCAACTCCAAGAAGGGAGGTTCATTAGAATCAAATTATCAGGCCTTCAATGTAGCCGCATATTCCACACTCTTTTATGTATTGACGATGGCCAGAGGCAATTTATTGCAAATGAGCAATGGAGGATGCCAACAAGTGATTTTAAATTAAACAATCAACATGATTCATGGAGAGGGATAAATCCTTCATGTTCTGGTCCGACCTTTGGACAGGAAGATTATCTTCAATCACCACTTGAAAGGCCACCCATGAGCAATGCAGGTCTTCAACATGAAAGTGGCTTCACCTAAAGTTCATAATAATACCTGTAACATCAACGAGTCGAATTCACATCAAACAAAACCAATTTCACTAACATTCAAATTTCATACTCACTAACTTAGTGGAATCGAATCCCATAACAGTTTTTCATAACTAACTTTGCAAATGAAACTGACAGAATTAATTCTTACCATGTCACAAACTTTTAATCCCAACGTCTTCTCTAACTAAATAAGTGCAACTAAACAAACTCTTTTTTCTTAACTCTCAACAACAACTGGTTGAAACTGATTCAGAATTCCAATTCCAAAACCTCTGAAAATTCGTTCTCAGTGATTCCCAAACCTCACCAACATCAATTCGAGATCTGAATTTAAATGTTTCTGTTTCTAATGCTAATATAATCATTCAAGCTTGTGCAAGCTGGAACAACCTTAGCCATGTTCATGAAGGTTATCAAAATCGAGATGCATTTTCTCCAACATATTGCGGTAACTCTACAATTGACATTATCCATAAGAGAAATTATTATATAATTCCACAAAACAAACTTGGTCAGGATATATTTACACGTGCTACAGAAGCCAGTGGACTGCAAAATATAATTATAATGCCATATGGGGATATGAAGGCCGTGAAAGTACATGTATCCAAAGATATGCTAGAATCTCATTTGAGGGGCGAACCTTGTAGAAAAATAAGAACAATGGTGATGATCATCATAGCAGAAGCACAATTTCCTCGAGTTGGAGGCTCATATTCTCAGCAATATGCCGTGGCTGTCCGGCTTTCTCCTAATCCAAGTCTCCCTAATGATGCATTGGTTCACTAACAGAGATGCAACACAACGAGTTAACATAACATCCATTTGAACCAAGTTAAATCACTAACATAACACACTAAGAGCATCTTTGTGAGTAAACTAAGATATTTTTTATGGACCCAAAGTGATTTGTAGGATTTAAAAAATTTATAGTTGATTTGAGTTGTTTTTATTTCAATGATAGTTACTTATAAAAAAACTAAAACTTGATCTTATATTTTATATTTTTTAATTATAATTTTTTTTATTGAAATTACTATTAATTTAAATAATATAAATAATAATATTATATGTCTCAAAATAAATAGTATACGTTAGCTATATAGTTGCCGGAAACTAAAAGTTAATAAATTAAATGTCATATCATAGTCATTTTAATACAAATTCTTTATAATCATTGTTAACTATAAAAAAATTTAACTATTAAAAACATGCATTAAAGATGCTCTAACACGGAGTAACTAAACTGAAATTCACAATTAACCATCCATGACAATTGTTATAACTAAGTTCATAACTGACTCAATCCAAATTACACTACTAACCTCTAACTAGTTTTCTCATTTCAAGGCAATTTGAAGTGAATTTCATTTACATTTTTAACCGATTTTGGAGGAGGAAAAAGTCTATAAATTCAATCATCATAATTCAATTGAAGGATCCCGTCACATTTTCACAAATCCTCAAATCTCATCCTTACTGAAAACTCTCTTTCAATTCTCTCTTATTCTCACCCAATCACAATCTCAAATTCTCCCAATTCTCTCTCAATCACTCTCTCCCTACAACAAACTCATCAACATTCTCTCACAACAAGCACACATACAATCAACAAGAGTGCGAGCAAGAACAACACATTTCAACAAATTGCAGCAACAGATGGTGGAGAGAAGAAAAGAGTAGAAGAAAAAGAGAAAGAAGAAGAAAAGAGGAACAAAGCACTACCTGTGAAGTTGCCGTCGATGCCGATTTCAAAGTGAAATTCTAGCACGTAGATACCAAATGTCGAGACAGATGTCACAATCCTGTGATGAAAACAACTTGACCACACAAGTAAATAGAAATTTAAATGACAGAAAAGTAAAATTAACACTAGAATTGTTAACTCATTTCGGTGCAACTCACCTACATCTGAGACTATCAAGTCAAAAAGGAAATTCACTATGATAATATTAGTTCAAAGCTAAATTCTCTTGTTTACAACTTCTCGCCTAATCACTACCTTATGCAACTTCTACCTACAAACTCTTTAGATAGGAGACCCCTCTCACTTCCTAATCAGTCACAATTCCAGTGACAATTTAACAATTACACAAAATAGAAGTAGCACACTTCCAAGGCAATACTTGATTTTGCTTAAAAATTTCAACCGAGAACAATACACTCTTGCTTAAAAGCTTTAGAGTGGATAATTAACAATGAACAACCAGTCAACCTCAGTGCATCAAAAGATACATGAGTGACATACAATTAACAAGCACTAAACCCTAAAGACCAACCAAAACACGGTTAATCCTTATTTTTCAAGTTCTTCATGTTGTGATCTCTACTTCAATAGGGTTAGGTATTCACTTTAAATAGTCTTCGAACCTAATGGACTTGAACTTCTTGAAGTGC